CCAACGGTGTTGCTATCTGCGTCTCCGTTAAGAAGAATAAGTGCGGCTTCTCGGTCTCCAGGTGGTGATGGACCGGGTCTAGGTTTGTGTGTAAACCTCGGATGTTCGTGAGGTGCACTTAGCTTAGCTACGCCTGTAGTAGTGTTGCTACGAAACTGCTACGAAAAAGCTTTTTATTTTATAACAATTACTTTGTTTTACGTTTTCTCCACCTTTATTATTCTGTAGTGTGGGATACTGAGTCAACAAATGACCCGATGAACCCTTTTTACAGTCGCGGGTATGTACCTCAAAATGTAATAGCAATATATCTAATACCCAGTCTTAGAGAAATTTGAAATTAAAATTTAAGAAACCCCAGTACCTTTCGGGGATTATTCAAATATCCCGACAAAAAGGGTTCGGTTTAACAAAACGAAAACCTTCTAAGAAAGTAATGTGATATTTCTTTTAGTGGTTGACATGCCAGCAATAACTGGAACATTCTTTTACCTATTTCAGTTTAATTTCAGCAAAGCTTTTATTGAGTATTTTTGTTTTAATCCTTTGTCAGTGAACGTGTTTCGGATGGGCACGTTAAGCCGTCGGTCCCGGTGCTATCTATGATGGCGGTCGTTACACAACCATGTCAGAGGAGGAAAAACTCTGACACTAGGGTTCATCGGGTCGTTGAACGACTCGGTGTCCCACACGAAGAGACAGTGAATGATGTGATGTAATGTGTGTCTGCTAAGAACGAGTACTATAGTCGAGAAGACCACTCGCTGCATTCGCGGCCGTAAACTCAAGTGTGAAAACCATTCGGCGTCGAATGCAACGAGTGGTCTTCTCGACCATAATTTGAAATTTGTCTTTACTGAAACAGATGTGTGTTTTACTCATGTTTTATGTTGTATATAAGGAGTAACAGAAAGGGTATAACAAGCCGAAAGGAGGTCAAGGTACTCATGAAACTGAACAACTTTCCCATACAAAATCGCCGATCAGCTAATTGATCGTCCAAATTTTTTTCTTATATTTCGACCCGTGTTCCATGGGGAAAGTTGTTCAGTTTCATGAGTACCTTGTTCGGCTTGCTATACCCTTTCCGTTACTCCCTGTATAAGTTATAGATAAAATATTGTGAATACTCGATCGCCAGGACATATTTATAAGATCTTTTATATCAAACATCTTTTATCTACAGTAAACAAGAGTGGAAATTGCTCGGTTAAATTCTCTCACCCGATTAGGTTTTCGTTTAGACAAACAATTTGCAGTTATTTTTCACAGTGTACACTTCCGCCCACAGCCAGTTCAATTATTATGAAGAAGAAAATATTTGCTGAAGTTGTTTTAGCTGAAAGAAATCATTAAGTAGGTCCTTACCTTAACAGTCACAAGAGTCCACTGCTGGACACGGGCCTCCCCCTATCGGGGGGTATTGCCATACTCACCACGCTTGGCAGGCGGATTGGCGAGCGCAGTGCAAGATGTTAGATAAATCACAGGGAACGCTGCCGCCCATTCCCTGGAAAATTATCCCTTAGTCGCTTCTTACGACACCCACGGGTAGAATTGGGGTGATGCTATTCTAAGCCGGCATCACACGGAAAGTAGGTTCAAAACATGAAAATATGGTAGAAAGTTCAGCTTGATTCCTAAGGTACCTGTTCTGTAATAGCCCCAATGTAGTAAAACTGTCCATTTTGAATTTTTAATAGGGACAGTTTTACTGCCAATTAGTCATAAGTACTTATTGACATCGTTCGATCATCCCTTTCCAAAAATAGCGCTTTCTAAAATTTAAAATTTTAATTCGCAAGGTTGACTGGAAGAGATCCCTTAATGGGATAAGTTCGCCTTTGTTCCTCGTATGTTTTTCTATTATAACTATTGTAAATATGTGCTATCGTACAATACAGTGCTTACATAACATACACTTTGCTATATATATGTCGCAGTACGATGGCAGAATCAGGTTTTTGGCCAAAAACCTAGGTTTTTGGCCAAAAGCCGGCATATGGCAAAATCGTAGACTTCTTTCGGCCATCGTCCTAAGCTGATCCAGGTTTTTGCCAAAAAACCTAGGATTTTGGCCAAAAACTAGATTTTGGCCGAAATCCTAGATTTGTTTAGTATTATGGCTTTTTTGCATTTCGGGGAAACTTCTTCTTCTTCGACTGGTACACCAAGTCGCCCAACGACCCGATGAACCCTGGTATTAGAGTTTTTAAACCGCCTACTGCAAGGAGCAGGACTCTGACAAGGTTGTGTAACGACCGCCGTCTAAGTGATCATAAAGAGCAATCGGGACCGACGGCTTAACGTGCCCGTGTAGTTCGGGCATACACCTCGAAAGGCAGGAGGTAACATTTGACGTTCTGGAGGGTGGAAGGTAGCGTCAGACGCTCTGGAGGGCGTGGTAGCGTCGGACACTCTGGAGGATGTAAGATGACGGGCGTTGGATTTTCTAGGGGTCCGACGCTACCTCCTGGTCTCCAGGGCGTCCAACGCTACCACCAATCCTCTAGAGCGTTCAGTGGTACGTCCTGCTCTTATGGTGTCTGAAGCTCCCCCTGCCCTTCAGGGAATCCGAGGCAATCCTGCTGTTCAGACTGTCTGATGGTTCCCCCCGTCCTTCAGGGTAACCATTTACGGTGTCCAAGTCTACCCTCAAAAGATCAGAGGAGGTGCACAAAGTACCTCTCCACTCCTCGTTCCCGAACTACACGGGTACGGTAAGCCGTCGATCGGTCCCGATTGCTCTCTATGATCACTTAGACTGCGGTCGTTACACAACCATGTTAGAGGCCTGCTACTTGCAGTAGGCGGTTAAAAACTCTGATACCAGGGCCAACGGCTCGTTAGGTGCTTTGGTGTACCACTGAAGACGAAGAAGTTCCCTGAAATTCAAAAAAGCCATAATACTAAACAAATCTAGGATTTCGCCAAAATCCTAGTTTTTGGCCAAAGTCCTAGGTTTTGGCCAAAACCTGGATCAGCTCAGGACGATGGCCGAAGGAAGTCTACAATTCTGCCATATGCCGGCTTTTGGCCAAAAACCTAGGTTTTGGCCAAAAACCTGATTCTGCCATCGTACTGCGACATATATACCCTTTTCCGTAATATCTCTTAAAAGTAACTTCAAAAATTTAAGCCCATGTTATGTGAAAGAAAAGACACAACCCTGCAGCTGCATTCATAGAAGAAGTTAATACATAATAAATGGGTCATTCTTTTCATAAAAGTTCCATTGGCAAGAGATCAGTAAGTCAAAAGGATGTAAAACTACAGGCGATCGACTGAATACCCCATTAAGATCGCCAACAGCTCATAAAAGTGGGTTATCTTCTTCTTCTAAAAAGAAAATGGCGCTTATACTGGTACTAATACTTTTAACCGACTTTGAAAGATAAGAACAGATATGTCGGAGTTTTTTATGTAAGTATGCTTCACTGATTTCTCAAAGATGTCTGAAACGATTTGAGAAAATCTTGTTTTATTTGAAAGCATGGTTACATGTGTTATCACAGGATGTGATCTTTGAAAACCGAGGGTTCTCTATTAAAGAACATACATACATAGATCACGCCTATATCCCTTGCCGGGCAGGCAGAGAGTTAACGGCTGCAAAGAACGGCCATTTACACCACATCTGACAAAATCTTGAGAGTTATTCAGAAGACTGTGTATCACCATAGACACTAAAACTGCAATACACATCAACTCTCCATATCCCGTAGTCGCTTCTTATGACAGCCACAGGAAGAAGGATATGAGGTAATGCTATTCTAAGCCGGCACTACACGGCAATCGAAGTCGGCTCCAATAATTTTATTTAAACTATTAATATTTTCATAGTTTATTAGTTATTACAAACGTTATTGAAGTTATGGAATGTTAGTGTTGACCTGTATAGCTTTTATCATAAACACTTCAGTATAAGCCATAGAAATATTGATACGGAAATTGCTTTTTAAAAAGTGGTTTTCTTTTTCAAAGCACTACTTCAATCTTGCTCTGAGAGAGTTATAATATTCTCTATCTCAAATCAGTTGGGGTCGGCGCAACGTGTTTTGTTTCAGCACAAATCATGTAGCAAAAGGATTTGACAATGTTTTATTACGGACCGCCTGCCAGACGTCAATCCTCGTTGGGAATGCTATTGTAGGTGGTATCACCGCAACCATGCGGTAGTCCAATATCCACAATAGTTGAAGTCCAATATTGCACATGTGCCAAACAATTTTTGGGGGATACTTACCATCACAACCTTGTTTGGCAGGCGGGTTTGCCAGCCCTGAGTGAGATGTTGTATTCACCTACATCATCATCTTCCTGCCCTTATCCCAATTACTTGGGGTCGGCGCAACACGTTTTGTTGAACACAAAATCGTGTTACAAAGGATTTGGCTTAATTTTACGACCGGCTGCCTACCAGACGTCAACCATCCTTGGGAATGCTTTAGTGGTGGATTAACCGCCACCTTACGGTTGGCCTTGGCTGTTTGGGTCGGGTTTATCCCTCGGTCGCCTCTTACGACCCCCACGGGAAGAGAGGGGGTGGTGCTATTCTATTCCGCCGGCACCACACGGCATTGTATTTACCTACAGTTAGTCGTTTTTCATAGCACGCTAAGGCGAAAATATGGTGAGGCTATTCAAAGCCTCACGTCCATAAACACTTCTAAGCAAAACATATGTGTCCTCGAATATACCCTCATTACATTCCCAAAAGGTCACAGGAACAAGTGGAGCATACTCTTGGAATGGAATACATTTGCATAGAGTTTTCGTCAGACATGCGTGTTAGGGCCAGTTTGCCACTCTCCAGCTATGCTAGCATTCTGCCCACGACAAAGATTATCTCACAAGTGAAAATAAAAAATAGAAAAATGTCATACATCGACCGGGAATCGAACCCGGGCCGCATGGGTAAACGCCCCACCGCTCTGCCACTGAGCTGCTCGTCTCCAAGCGACGATCAAGAGATAAAAATTTGGCATTCATCAACTGGTACAACGATAGCTCAGTGGCAGAGCGGTGGGGCGTTTACCCATGCGGCCCGGGTTCGATTCCCGGTCGATGTATGACATTTTTTCTATTTCTTGTTTTCACTTGTGACAATATTATGGCACTGTGAGTACTAAGTGCATTAAAAATCCCAAAAGAAAGATTATCTCCACGCCCTTATGTCAAAAGTCTTCACTTGTTTTGATAAATTCCATACGATTTGACACATCTGAAGTCTTCTCGAGCGCGAAACATGTCTCTGTACAGTGCATATGCTAGCCCGGCAGGTTCGTCATGAAACTTGTATCAAATAATCAATTCTAGGTTCTTCAGATGTCACAATAATATAAAATAATTTAATTTTATACTTTCATTTCGTCACACATCATGTTAGCTTATTACGAGTGTAACTGTTGTTGTTGCGACGAACGTTTTTAAAAAGGAAACCAGAGAAGAGGAGGCCTTTGCGAAAAATCAGGATTCGTTTTTTATCTGTGACGAAATGGTCCTAACTTTCATCAGACATGTGAAAACGTCACACGTCTACATTAAACGCGATATATAAACATGAAGTTGTCGGTTAAATACATAGTAAACAACTACATTATAGGTATTCATTATATTCATTGTGTTCTCTGATGGGAAGGGTTAAACTAATTCTTTTTTTATGATGGTAAATAACGGTCTTTTCCAATGTAAAAGCAAAATTTTGGATTCTTTGAATTTGACATAAGTAAAAGATTTTCCGCTCGGAATCCGCCAAATTGAGGGAGGCTAATTTTCAGCAGTGGACTGTTGTGGCTGTAGTAGTAAAAATATTCTCTGTTATTAGGTACTACGTCTTTTACACGAGGCAATTTTTAACACGAGTAGGGCCAGAACTTCAACTTACCTATTTAAGGGACAAAATCTACCTATCTAAGGAACCAACTTGTATTGGTTTTTCATACTAATACTAGGAAAAACATGTATAAAATGATCCCTAAAACTGACTGATCGGTATCTTGAAATGCTACTTGTAGTATACACAGAAGGGTGCCTGTTTTAAACGTAACAGATGGTCCGTTTCCCGCGAAGAAGAATAAAATTATGCTCATAAAATCCTTGTAACTAGGTCGATAATTTTAACTTCCAAGAACCCAGCCCAGATAGGAACTTTAAAAATATAGGGTGAAGTTTTACTAGTGACCGACAGCGAAAACTCAGAACCGGCTTACCCCTAAGGAAAATAGGTCGAAAAACGAAAAAAAGAATTTGGGCCTCCCATAGTGACTCAAATCAGCTGATCGCCAATTTTATTAACATATTTCGATCTATGTTCTAAGTTTTCGCTATCGGTCACTAGTAAAATTTCACCCAGTATACCTATCTATAGCTAGACTAGTGTAATCAGGTGTTGGAAATTTTTGTTCTTTGTTCGAATATAAATGAAGTCAGTTTAAAAACAACCGTAGTGGCACTGACCCCAAATTAATTGGGGTGAAGAGAACAAACTATAAAATTGGTTATCAAATGTTTGTTACTTTCGTCTATAGGAAGACAAAATATGATTATGAATGTGAGTAGGTATATGAATTTTGCTTTTGCTTATGCAGTTTAAAGTTTTGAGTCATCACTCATCAGTCAAAACTCCATCTATGTCTTGGCATAAAAAATAAAGTTTATAGGTATTTTACAGAAGGTTTACTCGACCCAATATTTTGGAATTTTTGCGATTGTCACTTGTTACATAGCCAGGGTTGCTACTAAATATCTTAAAGTATAGAAATATCAAAACAACAAATCTCTCTCTTCGTGTGGGACACCGAGTCGTTCAACAACAACCACTAATTTGATACAAGAACATCATATGATTCTGAGCCAATTTTAATACAAGAAATATGACGTTCGTAGCAACCATCTTCTTAGTTACCTTGAGTTCCTCTGACATTCCAGTTATTTAAAGGTTGAAGTCAGTTAGCGTCAAAGTCTCCGTTTTTTTTTCGTTAATACTGAGTGATCCATGTGTAAAAGCGCCCCGCGCGCCGCTCCCTAATTTGTGGTCTTGGTGAGTCCTTAAAAGTTGAAAGCACGAATTTATCCCATCCTACCTGACCTACATTTTTACAGTTCATGCTTAAAAGGAACAAAGGCGGAGTACACATGTCAAAGAGTGTTAGGTTTTGTTACCAGGCCAAGCCAGTAGGTGAATGTACTTCTTAGAGTAATATTATTGTTAGAGGGAACACTACGATCAAACACGATGAAGCCACAAATTAGGGACACGCCTATGCAGGCAGATGACTCCTTTAGTACTAGCGACGATTTTGATGCTTACTGACTTTAATTGGAAATAACTGAAATTTCGGGCGAACTCAAGGTAACTAAGAAGATGGTTGCCACGAACGTCATAATTCTTGGATTAAAATTAGCTCAGAACCCATATGACGTTCTAGTATCACATTTTAGACAGTAACAAAAGTGGCTATGTAACAAAAAAACAATCGCGAGAATCTTGAATATAGTCGAGGGAACCTTTTGTAAACTCTCTATTTTGTGATGAAGCTAGGAAAAAGAAACGCACACGTGTGTCGCGCTCCTGGCGCTCCTGCAATGAAACACAAAGTTCTCTGAATTTACATAAAAGTTCTATTAGTTTTGTGGGTGACCTTAAATAGATCTTCATCTGTAAAATGAGCTTTAAAACTGCAGGCAATGTGTATTTCTAATGAAGCAAAATCAAGTAAAGTGTGTCATGAAACAAGCTTTAAACCTGTATCAATTCTGATATTACTGTGTTAGTTCCTAAAGCTCCCTCTACCCAGATTTTCCCTCTGAAGGGTAGTTAGATATGTCGCCGTCTGTAATCAAGGCAGCGACGCCCCGGCGCCGGCTTCAGTTGTGATAACGCCCAAGCCTTCAATTTCCATTATTTCGACCTCCAAAACCAGTGGCTAAAATAATATAGGAAGTAGGTACTGAACTTTCGGGTACTAGGTGAAATCAGACACAGATTTTCAGATTAAGGCGAGAATCACGCGTGTTTTGCAGAGCGCTATCGCATGCGGTAGGAAAATGCGATTTTCCACCATATTCTCTTACAAATACCGTTTATGTCAAACGGTTTGACATACGCATCCGTTAGCAACGCTGCGTCTGTCAAATCATTTGAGAAATATCGTATTTGTGTAGAAATAAGGTTGAAATTTATAGGTAAGTAATTTAAGGTAAGTGATCTTTACGAGCAGGACACACCGCCTCCGTATGCGTGAAGTGCACTTCATCATGCGCATCGCTACGACGTTGTATTGTATGGGATCGCACGAGACATGGGACACCGCGGTACGCGCGTGATGACGTGCACGCATACGCAGGCAGTGTGACGCCTCTTAAGCAGCCAGTGCCATACATTACAACCGTGATGACGTACGCATGCGTCCTGCACACGGAGGCTGTGTGTTCTGCCGTTAGGCGAAGAACACACGCAACGTCCGTTCCAGCGCATTTTTAGCGCAGCGTCAAAATAGCGCACAACGCTGCGTTGGAAAACAAAAGAGGAACGATTTTTGTGCGTTGCGGCGCAACAAAGATAGTTGTAGGCATTTAAAACAATAAGAGTAACAAAGACAGGAAAAAATGTGTCAAGATTAAAATTTGTAGAAGCGACATTATGTATTTATCTTCTGTGTGTAAATGTAGGTACGCAGGAATTTTGAATTTAATAAACAAGTTTTTATTATTTAGTAGGTATGAACTAGAAGATTAAACCGTCCAAGAGCATCTCAGACACACCTTCAACTAGGGTTTTGTAGTCAACGTTTCGATATACATAACAAAGTTAATTATGCTGTTGGTTTGCTTGCAGTGGTATGGTTACCAACCGCAAATCGAAAAACTTTTGTGTTTCTTAAAACTTAAGTGGTACAGCATCCGTTATAGTATTCGTGATAATCTCGGGTTGAGAACTATATGTAGCTTAATTCAGTTTTTACGCTTAACTATTGAAAGAGAACGGATAGCGATCAGTGTATTTGCAAAATAAGTCGACAGCTAAGTATTTTGTTTTAGTTCATCTCTTCAGTGACCTTACGACAGTTGAAATTTGAAACTGCGTCCATATGGACTACTGGTGCGAATCTGTGAAACATCGGTCTCATGTGTGTCTTACGTCAACTCGGTATGAGTTTCGTCCTCTACGATAAGCTTCTTGTACCCAATCGGGGCAATCGCTAAACTTAATGTAGCTTAATTTAGTTTTTACGCTGAACTAGTGAAAGAGATCGAATTCCATTCCATTCAAAGTTACAAAAATATATGAACGAATCAAGTGGTTCACAATTTCGCTGCCTGGGTTAGAGCTACCGTAGTGTAGCGGTTTATTTTTGTTATGTGGCACTGCACTTATCGGCCCCGGGGCCGGTTAAAGCTACACCTAACTATTTTGTGGGGGCGAGGCTCACCCGGATGTGTGTGGGTGGTTGTTCAAACAACCAGCCCAATCACGCCCTTGGGGTGAGACTGGGCTTACGAGTTTTCTGGGAAGAACGGGTCGGACTGTGTTTACCGGTATGTGCCGGTAGTTGCCAAAGAATGGCACAAGTGAGGGCCTCTGTGTCCTATTCGCCGGGGACGAGGGTTGCTTAAGGAGCTTGTAGAGTGTGATCTACTCGCAATAGCTGCATCAGCTGCTAATGTGATGGGACCGTCAACATCCGAAAGGACGTGCCTGGGGCAAAGTCGAAAGTTCGAAGTTGGATAGGGGTAGTAGTAAGACGCTGCAACTATTAGGGGAGCTCCAGTAGCCCTGCGCATGAAGCGGTTTTGGATGACTTGCAGCATATTCAGATGGGTCTTAAAGGTCATGATTGGCCTGACGCAGTTAGTGTAGATTCTCACCTTTTCTAACAAAGAGTTTGCTCTTTTAATTGAGCATAAAACTGTTATGTGGCTAAGTTTAGTCTGGAGTCGAGTGTAGCGCTCAAACACATCTGAGCCGGTTTGTCCGAAAACGTGGGTTCGAATCCCATCAGTGGCGTGAATTTATTCCATTTGCTTCATTTGTATTAACTTTGTAACCAAAAAGTTTATGTCAATATCT